AAACCTTATGGGGCAGCTCTACTCTGTCCTATAGGGTCGCTATGAGTCAGAATCAACTCGAGGGCAACAGGCAAGGCAGGCTAGATGTTAACTGAGAAGGGATGTCTGAATGAGAATTAATTTCATAAGTGTTGAGGTTATCAGTTAGTATTTTTGTTATAATTTCTGCTCCCTAAGCGATTTTGTAACTGTGAAGATAGGGAGATCTCATACATATGTGTGTATGTATATATGTGTATGCAGGTAGTAAAAGACTGGACTTTTCAAGATAATTCAAAGTATCTGAAAAAAAGATTTCAAAAAATTCTACCACCTTCCTAGAATTTTCTGGTATATATGTGAAGGTTTAGGATTAGAAGCCAACATATCAAAGATTTATCTGAATTTACTGAAAAGTAAAAATTTAGAAAAAGAAGCAACAAGTTAGGCAACAAAATGATGGCAGAAAATTCAGTTCATCTGGTTCCCACTGACAGAGTCCTGGTGGTACAGTGGTTAGACCTCGGCTGCTAACCAAAAGGTCGGCAGTTCAAATCCACCAACTGCTCCTTGGAAACCCCACAGGGCAGTTCTATGCTGCCCTACTGGGTCGCTATGAGCTGGAATCGACTCAAAGGCAACGGGGTTTGGTTTGGCTCCCACTGCAACCATATCGCTTTATAGACAAATCATCTTGTAAAGCAGATGGTTAAATCAGTTTTTCTAGTCATCTAGGGTAAGGATATAAAAGCGCATGCCTTTAGGTAATATCTGACCCCATTATGGGACCTGATTCATAATTCTATATACTGGTGCAGGTGTCGGCAAACTACCCCAGCAGATTAAACCTGGCCTGAAGCCTGCTTTTACAAACACTTCCTACACTACCTAAGAATTGCTTTTGCCTTTTTAAAAAAAGGTTGTTTAAAAAAAAGAATATGTGACCAAGACCTGAAAGTCACATTTTAAATTTCAGTATTTATTATCTGGCCTTTTATAGAAACAATCTGCCAACTCCTGATCTAGGAAATAAAAGCACATATCTTTGGGTGATATCTGACCCTGTCATGTAACCTGATTCACAATTCTATACATTAGTACAAAGATTAAAAATCTAATTTCTTAATTAACAACAAAAACAAACAAACAAAAAGGACAACATATAACCTCAACATCTATGCCCTTATATTACCCCAAGGTCTAATAATACAAAAAAAAAGGGCCAACACTGATATGTTCTGGTGCTCCTTTCTTACTTCAGCATTAATTTTGTGAAGCACTTTCAGTTGTAATGGTTCTATACCCAGGGCTTAGTTCCCTTTAACAGAAAAAAGAATTAACTCCTATCATCCTGTCCTGTGAAAAGTATAACATATGTGGTTTTTACCTCTTAAGTTGTGTAATAAATGGCGGGCCGGGGGGCGGGCTGCGAAGGAAGAACCTCTATTAGCTCAGAGAGGTCACAAGATTTGATTGGAAAGAAAACTTAGAAGATAACATACATGTCTGGAGGTTTCATAAAATCACACGTATGAGAGAGGGAGAGAAAGGAAGGGGGAGGAGGCAAGTGTGTTTATTCTTTTAAACCTCTGAAGAGACACTCATGTCACTAACTTCATATAGCTGGGCTCCCAAGAAATGAAAGGTAGTAAGATCTGTTCTCAGTTTTCAGCCACTGAAAAAAATGGGCAAAGGATATGGACATAGTTCTCAAAATACGGAATACAAATGGAAAGATGTTCAATATCTCGTGCATAAGAGAAATGCAAATTAAAACTACAATGACATACCATTTTTGCCTACCAGTCTGATCTAGACAAAGTTTGACAATACTTGTATTGGCCAAGGTGTAGTAAAATAGGCACTCTCATGCATATAAACTGCTGATGGAGTTAAGCTGGTATAACAACTATGAAGAGTAATTTGGCAACGCCTATCAAAATTACAAATAACACAGACAATGACACAAATAACAATCATAGTTTGACACAGCAATACTACTTTTAGTAATTTTCCCTATAAGTATATTCCCATTTGCTTGCAACAACTTGGGTGAAAGTCACTTGTTGTAAAACTGCTGTCATCAAAGACTGGAATTAACCTATTAAACGGCTGTAACGGGACTGATATAGCTAAGCTATACAATACCCTAGTGGCGTAGTGGTTAAGAGCTACGGCTGCTAACCAAAAGGTCAGCAGTTCGAATCCACCAGGTGCTGCTTGGAAACCGTATGGGGCAGTTCTACTCTGTCCTATAGGGTCACCATGAGTCAGAATCAACTTGACGGCAACAGGTTTTATACAATTAAATGGAGCCCTGGTGGTGTAGTGGTTAAGCATTCAGCTGCTAACCAAAAGGTCAGCAGTTCGAATCCAACAGCCACTCCTTGGAAACCCTATTGGGCAGTTCTACTCTGTCCTACAGAGTCATTATGAGTTGGAATCAACTTGATGGCAAGGGGTATACAATAAAATGCTATGCAGCTATGAAAAATACATTCTTTATATACTGATATACAACAATCTTCGTAATAACATTAAATAAAAAACAAGGCGTTGAATAGTGCTGCGAGTTTTATAAAGGAGGTAAAATAGACACATCTAATCTGCATAAATTATCTCTAGAAGGCTACACAAAAAACTAGTTGCATTGGTTGGTTGCCTCCAAGGAATAGGACAGGAAGCAGAGGTGGGAGGAAAACGTTTTCCCGTATGCCTTTCGAATTTTCTATCATCTGCAGGAATGACCTATTTTAAAAACTAAAATAAAAAGAAAGAAAAAGATAACATGACTCAGAAGAAGCCACAGGCAAGGGAACAAAAGAACCCTGTGCTTTGCGACTGTATTCCTAGTGATGGCCACAACGTGGGGGTTGTGAGATCTCAGGCAAAAGTCTAAGGAATATGGCAACTCCCCAGACAACTTCTAAATACCACTCTTCAGTAAATGCCACCTTAAAAGCCCTCCAAGGCAAGATGAGAAGGCAGAAGGGGACAGAAGCTGGGTGAATGGACACGGGAAATTCGGGGTGGAAAACAGGAGTGTGCTGTCACAGTATAGAGACAGCAACTAGGGTCACATAACTATGTGTGTGTATAAATTTTTGTATGAGAGACTGACTTGAACTATAAACTTTCACTTGAAGTGCAAAAAAAAAAAGCCCTCTGAGTCTACCGCCATTCAGTTGAAACTCCTCCTCTCCCATTTCTCCTCTTACCTTACCCACTCCCACTCCAATTTGAAGAAGATGCTTTAGCAATGCTTGGTTTTACTCAATATACACCTAAAATGTGCCAGGCACTAGGCAAAGTATGGAAGCATGCAGGTGAACAGCTGACACTGTCTCTGCTTTCAAGGCTCCTGTGCTCCAGTCCAGTAGCAGATATGCCTGCCAAAAACTAAAAACTATTTCATGCTGATTAATAATCATGGATGAATAATGGAGGTTATGATTAAATATACAATTTCGGATTTCTGTTTTCTAGGTAAATTAATTCCATTATCTAAATTTTTTCTTTATACTGATCAAATTTAACTACCTCCTCTATTAATTTCTCTAAATAAAACATAACAACCACCACGGTCCTCTAAGTGGCTTTACCGAAGTTACATGTTACACTAGTCAACCCAATCCTACAGTTAAGAGAAGGAACCCTGCTGGTGTCCAAATGATCTGAAAAATGCTTTTTGGACCACAGCCCGTTCTACTCCCAACCCACATATATACACATACATACACACACACCTCTCTGAGAAGCTGTTCATATTTCTGAACCCTTGGCCCCACAGTCTTGCGTCCAATTTCAGGGGTTCTGAAGATCCCCTAAAGTACAATCATGGATTACAGGTTAAAAATCTCTGCAGCATTAAGGAAAAAAATGAGACTTGAATAAAACACTAATGTGGTTTCTATGATTTCAGAATGAATTCACTTATTACAGTTTCTAAATAAGCAGCAGGTTAAGAAAATTCTGAGAAGTATTTGCCAAAGATACATAATTGTGTGAAGGGAATGGAAAGAATACAGAATTTAAATCAAAAGACCTGAGTCAATCTTTAGCTCTATCACTTAAAAGCTAAATACTCTTGGGAAAGCCACAAGCTCATGGGTTTGTTTCCATTTTACAGGTGATAAAAACTTGTAAAATTCACAAGGTTGTAAAGATTCCATGACACTCATCAAATATTTTCTGGACACCTATCAAATAAAAGATACACTAGGAATTTAAGAAGCAGTATGGCACACCATGGAAAAAGATGAACCTTCTTCACTTTTTCATTCAAATATTTACGAAATGTTAAACTACATACCAGGCTAGTCAGTACCCTGGAGAGACATGAATGGCCAAAATAAGCAGTCTGACTTTACACAATGTACAATTATGAAATGGTATTTGCTATGACTGGAAAGGATGTTATGAGAGCATATAAAAAGGGTAGAACATCCTGTCTTAGAGAAACAGAAATGGCTTTCTTGAAGAAAGGATGAAACTGAAATGAACAAAAGACAACCAAACAAAAGAATGTGTTTTCAGGAGTGAGCGTGTGTATAAGTGTGAGTGTGTGTGTATATATATACACAAACATTATCAGCATAGGACTACTGGTGCACCAGAACAGCTTGAGCTGAGGCTGCAGAAATAAATGGGAACCAGACTATGACATGCCATGTTAACTAAAATGAATTTAATTTTAACAGTATAAGCGGGAACCATTTAAAAATTTTACATGAGACAGTGTCATCTGACTACTGAATGCAGCACAGACAGTAGGGAGCCCATAGTAGCCACTCATTAAGTACTACAAAGATACAATAATCAAGTAACTGTTACTACAAAGATTAAGAAATAGCCCCTGAAGCCTTCGTCTAAAGTGAGAATAGCAGCACAATTGGAAGAGCATAGTCGATGTCACGGAACTGTGCATGTAGAAATTTTTGAAATGGTGTATCTTTGGCTATGTATATTTTCACCAAAAAAAGAAAAAGGTCGAGAAGGGAGAGGGTTGACATGCTGTGGGGTTGTTAACCAATGTCATAAAACAATATGTGCACTACTGTTTCATGAGAAACTTTTGTTCTGTAAGCCTTCACCTGAAGTACAATAAAAAAAAAAAAAGAAATAGCCCCTGACCTTTAGGACTCCATGGTCTAGTGAGGGCAAACAAGCATCTAAGCAAGTAATGTTAGTAATCCGTTAAGATTACTACTATTGTATAAAAATACAGAAAAGGCCAAAGTATTACAAAGGATAAACTGTAAGTTTAAACAAACACGATTTATTTTTTTTTTTAAGAAAAAAGGATATCCCAAGCAGGGAGAACAGCATGAAGAGAAACATGGAGAGGTGAAGATGTAAGGGCACCCTGATGTGGCTCATGCATTAAGTGTGTAAGAGAAATTGCTGGACAAGAAGGTTAGACAGAGATAGAAGGATCTCCCATACCATGCACTAAAGGCTTTGTTCTTTGAGTAATGGGAGTCCTTGTGTTTTTAAAAAATGCTGTACCATAATGAAGGATAATATGAAGAGGGAAAAGAATAGAAGCAAGAATGACAAATAGGAGGTTGCTGCAAAAGTCTAAGCAAAAAATGATGGGGGCCTGAACTAAAAGTGGCAAAGAGACAATGTGATCTATTTAACGGGTAAGACAAAAAGAAATCTCAGATGCCATGAGAAATACAACCTTTTAAGGAATAGAGAGAAGAAGAACAATCAGAGTCAGAGAAAGAAGCTCAAAAGATTTGGAAGAGGGTGATGTCAGACTAACAGAAGGCAAAGTAAAGAGAAATGACAGCGAGGTCAGGTAGGCTGCATGTGCACGTACATATAAATATAAAACTCCTAGTTCTGTCTACTGACAGGTTCTAGAAGAAACACCCCCAATAGCAATGACTTCACCGACATTCCAGATCTTGGTTTCTAAATATCACTTCCCACCACAAGGAACCAGGGCTTCTTGGAGAAATGGCTGATTCCAGCGTTGGGAAAGGGAAAGTACAAGATGAGCCTGGACAACATGTTATGCCAGAAAGCTCAAAAAATAACAGACATGTCAAAAGGACAAAGAAGTCAACCTGAAGGGGCTTCCACTGGTCAAATATGGGACAATTAAAGCATCAAAATAATGGAATTAATGGATCACAATCCACTGACTAAAATAAGAATCCATGAGTCTACTACCCGTTCACCCATTGCCATCGAGTCAATTCCGACTCATAGCGACCCCATAGGACAGAGTAGAAGTGCCCCATAGGATTTCCAAGGAGTGCCTGGTGTATTTGAACTGCCAACCTTCTGGTTAGCAGCTGCAGCTCTTAACCACTATGCCACCAGGGTTTCCATGAGTCTACTTGTATAAATCAATGAATAAACAAACAGGAGAGCAGGGAAAGCTCTTACTTATAAAAAAACATTAACCAATAAACACAGAAGTAAAAAAAAAAAAACGATGGATTGGAAAATTTGGCAACCACAGTAACAACTGATTCAAACAAATCACTGGATGCTAAAAGTAGCAGACAAAATTTGATGGAAAATAAAATATCTACATAGTCCCAAAGTTGCTCTCCATGTGATATTTTTTAATTATGAAGGGAAAAACAGTAACTTTACAGTGCAGAAACTCGGCAGACACCACCTTAACTAAATGATCAAAGTTGAAAATGCCAGTAATTGGACAAGCTGACATCATGGGAAGAGCATTACTGTAACATTTCTGACAAAAACACATAACCTGAATCCAAACATGAGGAAAAGTTCAGACAAACCCAAACTGAGGGATTTCTACAAAATAGCTGGCCTGTACTTTTCAAAAATGTGAAGTTCATGAATGACAAAAAAAGACTGAGAAACTGATTCAGATTAAAAGATACTAAAGAGATAAAACTCAATGTAAAGCCTGATCCCAGATTAGGTTTTGGACCAGAAATTTTTCTTTTTCTTTTGCTATAGAGGGCATTGTGTAAACAACTGGCAAAATTTGAGTAAGATTTGTTCATTAGATAATAGCATCATGTCATTGTAATTTGTTGATTTTCATAAGCATATTGCAATTATATATGAGAATATCGTTGCTGTTAGGAAATACATACTAAGAAATTTAGGGACATAGGGGCATATTATCTGTAACTTACTCTTAAAAAGTTTCAGAAAAAAAAAAAAGACCAGGATAAAGTAAATTTGGTAAAATATTAACATTTGGAGAATCTGATGAAGGACTTACAGGATTTTTTTTTTTTTATATTATTCTTGTGATTTCTGAGTCTGAAATTATTTCAGAATTAAAAGTCGAAAACATTAAGCAGGAAAATGTATATATTCACATTATGATTATATACAAAACTAAATTATACAACCTACATCTACACTATAAAAGTCTCTTAAATGCTGACTTGATCATGGTCCTAAGGAAAGAACTGCATTCCTTGGAGGTGTATTCTAGCCCAGTAATTTCATTAATGTATATACTCTGCCACTTCTCAGGTAGTTTTACATCACTTAAAGTAACTTTTCCTAAACAGAGTCAAGGCTTTTTAAAAAAAAACTAACTTCATGGGCAATAGAAACATGACCATTATGTCTTTAGGGAAAGAGAATTAAGAGCTCACCCAGGAGAGTTAAGTGTTAAAATGACTTCATTCAAAACCAGAATGTTTAGAGCAGCCAGATTCTGTACTTTTATCTTTTACATCAGGTGTTGGCAAATTTTTTCTGTAAAGGACAAGACAGTAAATATTTTAGGCTTTGTAGGCCATCAAGTCTCTGTCACAACCACTTAACTTTGCTGCTGTAGTACAAAGGCAGCCACAGACAATATGTAAATGAACATGGCTGTGTTCCATTACAACTTTATTTACAAAAATTGGCAGTGGGCCAGATGTGGATGACCCACTGATTTAGATTAAAGTATTTATTCAATAATAATTAAATGGAACACTAATAAGTTTTAGACCATTTTTGCCTTTTACCAAATGAGACACTTATTTAAAAAAGAAAAAAAAAAAAAAAAACTTCTGATGTAACATCATTTAAACCAACATTCTTTGGGAGCCATTCTGAATTAAAAAAAAAAAAAAAAAAGGCAAGTAATATTGATCCTATGGATACAGAATAATAATCTCTATTACTCTACTACAGATTTCGAAATTTATCACAGAAATCCAGGACATCTAATTTCATTTTGAAATGTTACACAGTAGATTTCACATACAATATCAGTGAGGGACTGAAGCTCTAAGCAGTGACTCAAAACTTCTCAGTTAGGTAACTCTTTATGCTTTATTTCAACTTTACATAGAGAGTTTACTTCTTAACATTCTACTAGGCAAATCTTACGCTGAATCAAAAATACTGTCTTAAGATAAAGATGAAATAAGAGAATAAGAGTCGTCACTGAGAAGAGCTCAACTTATCACACATAAGGAATGTTGTTGTCCCTAATCATCTAACCTAGGTCAAATGGAAACTACCCTGACTTCATTATAAGGAGAGATGCACATCCTCTAAGTGTTCACAAGAGAGGCTCCGGAATCACTAACTATAACAACCTCTTGGTGTTTAACTGCAATTGAAGCTGCCAAGTTCACAGGAACCTTACCTCCTCTTCTCATGATCCAAATGAATGAAGATTTTCCAGTCAAGTCATAAGTAATCATCATTTGTAACCCGGTATTTTGCCCTGTGAAGTCTGAGGTATATTTTCAGCAGGATGGGTGATGTACAACAATTCCTTTAGAAAACAGAATTATATGCACACACCCCTGCTGAAAATGTAGCCCAGTAAATTTACATGTGAATATGAATACATGACCATGTGAAAGCAATGTGCTAAGTGATGTTTATCGTTGATGTCTACTTTAAGAGTCAAAACATGTAAGCCTTGTGGAGCCAAGGCAGTGGTCCTGTGTATATAGGTATAGAAAAAGTAGCTCACTTAATCCTTTCTCGCCAGAAGTCGGGATTTTCCCGGAAGGACATCCATTGTCGGCAATGGACGCACCAAAATAATGCCGGCGCCAATGAGTTAACCACCTCTGTCCTCTTTTCACCTATCATATTTTTCATGCATCATCCAGCTTCCCAACCATCTTCCTGTTTCTTCACAGAATGCACGCTAGGTTCTCGTTTTTCTTCAGCACGAAGTTGTAAATGGAGTTGAGAAAAGGAGACACATGGTCAGCTGGTGATGTTAACAAGCTCCTTGCTGCCCTGAGAAGCTAGATGGAAATGGTTCAAGTTACAAGAGAGATCATCATCAGATCTGGGAGGACAAAGAGTAATTCATGAAGCTTTACCCTTCCCTCCCACCCGCTTTCATTTACTGATGATCCCTATAGTATGCTTTCACAGCAAAATCAAGATTAATAAATCTGAAGCAACCCCTTTCAGATCTTCACTCCAGTGAGTAGAAAGGCCAAGTAGAACACATGTCTAACAATATTACGGTGGCCCCAAAAGATCAAGGAGGTTTGAAGTGGCTAACATAACCACAATCTTAGATCAATGTATTTTTAGTATAATCTTGGAATTAAAGACAAGCAACTAGCATGGTGCTTGGCAACAGGTGCTTAGTAAAGGTTGGCTGAATAAGACATTTCCTTGTCAGTCAGTTTACTTGAACACATAGGTGGAAGTCAGACAGAAGTAGTTAACTCTTTCAATGCCGGGATAGTACAGATATATAGTAATCACATCAGATCTATGTGTTTCTCTAAAACATATTCAAATCATGGGTGACTGGTTTCAGACTTCTGATTAAATGCTATCTAGATTTTTTTTTTTTTAAGTACAACCATAATCAGAGTTTTGAGATCAGAATCATGGTAAATGCTGACTAGAATGATAGATGAATTAAGAACCCCAGCACCAATGTCTAACAAAACATCAAAGTTCAGTCAAATAAAGATATTTCTCAGGAATGCAATTCTAGATGGGTAATGATTCCAGAGCAAACTAGAGTTTGAAGAAGAAAAGACGATTTTTCTTTAATGGCTCCTTTGACACTAAGAATCAGGATAAACTCAAAATATGATGGTTAAGAAGGATATACTTTTAAGTACAAATAAAACTTTAAGCCTCAAGTCAAGAGGATCATCAAGCTACACAGTACTGTGGAACTGCTTTGATCTTTCAGATAGGAGTGGGGATGATAAGAAGGAGAAGAAATAATTTTATAGATATCAAAACTATACGTCCAGAGTGTGAGTTTAAATTATTGCAGTTATAGCCAGTTGGGTTAAGGATATCTCAGAGAGTAATTCATACCATTACAATTACAGAACAAACTACCATATTAAAAATATATATATTGACTTTATCTAGATTATAAACAGACAGGTTTTTAAGAGATTATGATTATATCTTAGCAATTTTTAAAAAGTATGTCAACCAGAAACTTTTCTCAGGCAAAAATGAACTACTGGCTTCTACAACCCCATTCTCTCTCTATAAAAGGATGGCTGTATGGCCTTTTCCATGTCCACCTGTGTACTCGTCTCCATCTCTACCTTCCTTACTGAGCCATGGTCATAGTTCAGGCTCTCCAGTGCCCTCCAAACACAAGAGGGCCTTCTTCCAGGGACTCCTGTGCCCTCGCAAAGCAAGCCTAGATTAAATAAAGGTCCACTGACTATCCTGGCCTCTCCTTCTATTAACTGCAATTCTGATCCCTGAAGTATACATATTGTTTCTTAAGTAGATTTACTATGAATCCTTTCTTTTATATTTACAAAAAAAAATCAGATTTCAGAAAGCTTAATAAGGCTGAGTTATGCTGAATTATAAGTAGCATGAAAGAGTAGGACAAGTAGAGCTCAAATAGGTAAACCAGAGCTGAAACCACACCATCCTTAAAGAAGGGTCTCAACACAGCAAATTAGGAATGCTGGAAGCAAGCACACTGCACAAACCACCAACTACTCATTTTGTTCAGTGTAAGGCCAGTACCATTTGGGTCAAATCTCAGTATCTAATGGGATTAGCTTTGTGGTCATAACTGGGGACCAAGGGGGTTCAAGTGTTATCTTGCTGCAAGGAAAACTGGAGATCTGGTTGCTTCATCTCTGGTAGAAGGAAGGAACAGAAAAATAAAAACTAGGAAGTACCTGTTCCCACAGGATTCTCAAGATCTGTATCCCAGATTCAGATCACTTACAGTAGAAACATACCACCTCTCCTAGGCTCATCCTGTTACTCACTTCTGTGTTAAACTCACACTGGGTTTGGAAATATTGCAACGCAAGTTCTACATATCTTACTACATTTTTAAACAAGAGGTTATGTATGTACTAGGCATAAGGGTCCCAGACCTCTCCATTTTTTAGATAACATCAAGGAAATAAAATACCTTCCAAAGAAACAGGCATTTGAAAGTAGCCTATGTCAGGAACAATAATGAAATTGAATACCAACTAGTTTTGTAATTTTAGGAATTGTTTTTCTAGCATAGTTTATTTTTAATCATTTTTTATGAGAAGTTTCTAATTACCTTAATTTTCCTTAAATCAACATTAATTTTTATTCCCAGTACAAAATAGAATCGTAAGTTTGTTACTAAAGGATTTCTGATTTTGTTTTTAATGTGAAGAGCATTTCAATTTCTAAAGTCATTACCGTAACACAGTTTGTAACTGAGGAAAATGGGGTCATTTATATATCAGTTTGGCTAACATGACTTGTCAAAGTTTAAAGGATGTTTGAGGTATTTATAATTAGCTGACACTAAAAAATGGTATTCCATTTTTCAGAAATACACATAGCTAGAAAAGTAGGTAGTTCAACTTAGGTTTGTGGATTCTAAACCTGATTAATTCAAGTTAAAATGAACAAAAAAATATTTTCTTACCTTTAGGTCTTTCCAACTGTCCAGGAGCTTGGTGGCCAAATCACTTATATCCACTGTTTTATCTGGCTGTTCCTGGCTCCTTTCACTCTCCACATCAGACACACCTTCCTCTTCATCTTGGGATGGTGTTTCCTCAGCAATAGGTTCTTCTAGTTTTGTGCCATTGCTCTCTTTGGGCTCTATTTCACTGTCAGCCTCTGGTTCAGACATGGGTAGCTTACTGACCTCCACTGAAGCTTCACCATCAACTCTGGATTCAGGCAGCTGTTGTGTGAGTAGCTGTTGTGGTTGCAACTCTTCCTCTTCCTCTATGGGGACATTTTCTAACTGGTCAAGGTCCTCTTTGCCATCCTTGCCTTCTAGTTCACTGGTAGCATCAGAAATCGCACTATCCATGCTATTTTCACTTATAATTTTCAGTCTACGAAACATGAGCTTCTTGGGGGTTTCTGTGTCAGCTTCCGTGCTAAGCTTGGTAGAAGGATCAGGTGTGTTGAGTGGTGTGTGAGCACGTGATGTGTTCTCACTAGAATACCCATCTCCTTCACTCAACTGAGGGACAGCGGTCTTGGTCTGAGACCAACGCTGAATGATTGGAAGTACTTTGCTTTCTTCCAGCATATTTTTAGTAGGAATGGGCAAGTGTTCCAAAGTCTTTATAATCTAATTAAACACAATTAAAAAAAAAACGAGATTACTTTGTACAATTTACAAAAGTGAGATCACTTTGTAGAGTTGACTTTTCAAACCTCTGGATGGGGCTTGGATAATTTCTGCATAAGTGGTACATTTTGCTACTATCTTATTAAATTAAGACCTTAGTCTCTGTAAACAGAAGGATTTAAATATCATAATATTATTTTCCTCTAGAAAGGAAAGAAAATTGTTTTAATAAGACTGACCAGCAAGAGCAAAATGTGGACGAGGTGTCTACTCACAACTTTGGTAAAGTTAAGTAGGACTTTATCAAAATCCTATACCAGTAGTTCCCAAATCTGGGAACCATTAAAAAAATATATATGTGTGTGTGTGTATATATATATATATACAAATATAAACTACTGGACCTCATCCTGGGTATCTTCTTCTAAGAAGTTTCCCAAGTGACTGTGATACAGGCTTGCGAACTATGCAACATAACATATTTAAATGATGTCTATAACACACATAAAAAAATGCAGATATTACCTCTTTAGTCTTTGATAAACAGCTGTCTAGCAAAGATACTCTCTTCATTCAGACACCCCCCTCTGAAATCCAAGAATTTCTTCCAAAGTACTTCTCAATGCAGTTCTACAGAAACCCCAAGGCATCCCCAACTTCTTATTGTCAAATCTCCCAGTAGAAGGATGGAGGCAAGAACAATTACTTATTGGCTCACTCACATGTTTTTGTTTTCAAAAGTGCTTTATTAAATGATTTGGGGATTATATCAGAAATTATGATGAAATGCTACATGTAAACCAAAGTTAGAAAAGACTGTTAATTTCAGGGGAAAGCATAAACATCCCAACTCCACTAACAATATTGCCAATGAACCTTTACTAAGACCTTTTCAAACACTTATTTCATCCTCAAAATGTTCTTACTGTTGTCATCCAGAATTCAGCTCTTAATCAATTTTTTTAAATCCCAGAATTCAAGTTTTATATGGTTTCTCATCTTTTTTTAAAACTGTAATTTTAGCAACAAATTGGACCCTTCACTTAACTATGATATTATTATACCTCAATCTTGCAGTTCTCAGCGTTGCGGTTATCAACCTTTAAAAGATACTTTAGGGAAAACCATGGGGCAAACTCACAAGTAGCAAGGTGTTATAGGAATGATAAAATTATTTCATACCAGTGGTAAATATACTGTTAAATTCATAATCACAGACACTATCACATAACCTCAACCTAAGCAATCAATATAGAAGTCTTAGAATTTTAAGAAACACACAAGCTGAATGTGGACTGACCTCTTCCTGAAGCTTCTGGTTACTTTCCCGGCCATCACCTAGCTCTGCCATCCAGATCCACAGCAAAGACAGTCCATGACATTCCAGAAAGGATTTTAGGCAGGACTGTGAGTGTGTGTTCTTCCATGAGGGAAGGGAGGCAGGATGTAAGGTGTCAGGGAGGGGACAATACCAGACAGACTGTTACAGAGGGCTTACAGATAGCACTAAAGAGTTCATTTATATTCACAAAAAGCCTAGAAATTGTTTTGATTAACACAACTGTACAAAATAATAGATCTTTGTTGATAACCAAAATGTAGGCAGACAACCTGGACTCTGCCAAAGTGGAAAATCATATAAATACTAATAGATCATTTATACTTAAATTCAGTTCTGTGGGACTAAGAAACAAACTGCATCTATCATTTTCACTGAAAAAGCTAAAGTCATAGAAATTTGTCTTTAAATCATTTTTTCCCTCTCTCACTTTCAGAAGCTTATTCAAAAGGCTTTTTTTTCCTCTTAGATTTTTCTTAAAAATCATCTATTTTTATTATCCAACTTCTTGTGGCATACTTAATAAGCTGCAGTAAATGAGATCACTGTCAAAATTCCTTGCTTTGAGATCATGTGGTACAAACAGCACGCTAATAATCCAAAAGGGTGAAAAATACTATGCCAAGTGCCATGAATTGTTGTACCAAAAAAAACATGCTTTTTCACTAGACAGAAAGAGGAAACCAGGTCTACAAATTGATTAAATGATGCTAAATTCTTCAGTCATTTTTAAGTGTACAAGCTTTCAAAGTCATGCAGAATTCACATACTCATTTTTAAAATGAGATGAACTCTTTTCATCAGAATTAATCCTTCTCTATTAACCATTCTGGTTCTAGTTTAAGTGTCCCACCCCAAATTAAGAAATAAAAAACAAATTAATATTAAAATGTTCACCTGTATGAGCTCAAGACAGGTAAGTTTCTGCTCCAAAGTTTCAATTCTAACCATCAGGCGGGATAAGCTGAGCACCTGGTTTTTATCCGAGAGACCTTCACCATTTTCCATCAGAGCTTCAAGCTCTCCATCCACCTACCACAGCAAAGAAAATCATCTGGTTATAAAATATTGCTAACTTAAGAATTAAATACTCTAAAAAGATGTGCAATGTCACTGGTTAACAGGAAAACACAAATTAAGACCACAGTAAAAAACCATGTTAACACTCACTAGATTGGGGAAACAATTAAGAGGTCTGAAAATATCAAGTCAAGGCAAATACGTGGCTCAAAAGGAAGTTTTATACATGGCTAACGAACGTATAAATTGGTATAATCAATATGAAAAGCATTTTATTCACTCATGAACTATTTATCAAGCACTTACTATACATCAAGTACAATTTTAGGTTCTAGAGACATTGCAATGAACCAAAACAGAAAAATCTGTCCTTATGAAAGACAAAAAACAATTATTAGGTGAAAAAGTAAATAAAGCATTATATTAAAAAATCAAATATTTGTATCTTCTATGTCCAGCAATTCCAATCCTAAGACTAAACGCTAGAGAAACTCTCGTACATGAGTTCCTGGAGATTCCTAAGAACGCACACTGAAGCACCATTCATATTAGCAAAAAAACTGCCAATAACTCAACTGTCTGTGGACAGGTTGGATAAAATGGCACGTGCACACAATATTATACTGCAGCAAAACAGAATCAAGCGCAGTGAAATGCAAAAGCATTCATCAACCTTACAAACTTAATGTTGTGTGAAAAAAGCAAATTCCAGGAGATTACATACTATATGAATCCATTTTTACGCACCACAAAAACAAATTTGAGGGACACATATCTGAAAACTTGATTTTAAAAAGGCAAGGGAATTCAAAACAATGGTAACCTCTAGGGCTAGGCAGGGAAAGGGAAGCAGAGAAGAGCTCACAGGTATTAGTAATGTACTAGGTCTTAAGCTGAGGGTATTCATAAGGGTTTATTTTATAATTATGCTTTACAACGTACATATATTTTTTGGATGTTTCAAACATTACACTTATATAATAGGGGCGGAACCCACCTAGCAAAGGTCTGGGAACTGTTTTGAGGTCTTTGTAGTAGCTCTAACAGATATAAAGACGTCCTCACATACCTTATAATTGGGCACATTAAATTAATTCACATGAAACAGGAGTTTAGAACACAAAAGATCAACAGCTTTAAAATCTCCTCCCTGCCCCCCACCCCCAAATATAGCAGTTAAAGAGTCTTTCTCTTTTGGCAAAGGTTTGAGATGCCAATATTCACTGGGTTAAGAGATGGGAGTATTTTCTTTTCACAACTAGGCATGTAACGATTCTGTAACTCCAAAAACTCAGAGACAGATAAAACTGAGTTTTTATGTTACTTTCATTCATTCAATAAACACGTATTAAATGCCTATTACTGTATATAAGGCACTACTGGGATATAAAGATAATAGCATTCTTAAAGAAATGAACAGTAAAAATACATAAATGGGCATAAATAACAAAATTTTGCAAACAAAATACAGTTGAACAGCCTTTGAACATCTTTAGTATAATGATACTGGAGCCCTGGTGGTGCAGTGGTTAAGAGCTTGGCTGCTAACCAAAAGGTCAGCAGTTTGAATCCACCAGTTGCTCCTTGGAAACCCTATAGGGTAGTTCTGCTCTGTCCGACAGGGTCACTATGAGTTGTAACTGAATCAACAGCATAGCTTAATGACTGTATTGTACTATATATATTTTATAAAGTAAGCATGCCAATCCCAGTGGTGATATAATACACCTTCCGTAATTTTGGGTATTCAAGTAGATCAATCAACTGTAGAATTAATAACTTTGAAAATAATAGGGAGGATTGATTCTTTTCATTAATTTACATTTACTAAAAGTATTTTTTATATATAGGTCACCATCTTCCAAAAAGGATTTGAGATAGGTAACCAAAAGTAAACACAGAAGTAAACTAATGATTAAGATGTTAATAAACTATTGATAACTGAAAATTTACATGCATAAATTTACTTAAAATTTATGCTATTAAGTACGTAATCACTCTAAGATATTATTTATTCTTTTTAAATGCTTTCATATTTTTAGGTATGAACTGTCTTTATGGGTGATAAGCACCATTCTTCATGCTTGATGAAATATAGCATACATACAAGAAAGTATACAAATATTTAGTAAATAAACAGGTTTAATAAACAAATAAGTGTGCAACATTTATGGAACTACCACATTCAGGTTTAAAATAAGAACACTGCAATATGCCTAAAGTGACCCATGTACTCCTCCACTTCCTCTGCTTTAGAGATAACCTATCCTGACTTTTTAAGAAATACTTGTTTTTCTTTATAAGCTTACGACCTCTACGTAAACCCTTAAATAACAGAGGTTAACCAGATGTAAATCCATCCACCTACGGTCACCTGATCTTCAACAAGGGCCCAAAGTCCATCAAATGGGGAAAAGACAGTCTTTTTAACAAATGGTGCTGGCAAAACTGGATATCCATCTGCAAAAAAATGAAACA